CCCAGATTGCCTCAATTCTATCCATGGAAGTAAGAATTAATAAAACAGTATTGTTCTTGGCTCCTTTAGATTATATTTTGTAGATACATACATAACTACGAAAATTTTACTGACACCGGTACTGTCCTTGTTGAAGCTATTTATAGCTCAAATAAGAATTTCGAATTATCGTCCATTGTTCGATGCCAATACATCGATGACAAGTGAGAATGTATAGTAATCGTTGATGCCGCGCTGCGCTATAATAAACATTATAATCAAGTTGGAATAGTATGTACATTACTACAGTGAACATGTACCTGATCATGCCCTTCGTAATATCAAATACTAATATGTTATTGTGTGATGAATTTAACTGCATCATTGGTAACATGTGATATTGATATTCCATCAATTTATTTCCTGGTTGGTCTATCCATATCTACAAAATAAAAATTAAAAATTAAAAAGGAGGATAGAACAATTCTTAATTTCAGGCTAGAGCTGTGGAACTCTAAACTTTCCCAATGATTGTAGATTTGCGTTGGTCTCATTTTTTACTTTATTCTCTTGGGTCTACGTCACAGCTCATACCACACAATAACAAGACCAGTTTGCCCCCCGCCGGAGCTCCTGGATTTTGGTTATATCATCTAACATGGCCAACTCTGCTCTTAAGTAAACAAGAACCTAATCAGTGAGGGGTCCTTTATCATCCCTATTTGACTGCTTTTAAAAATGTTATATCTCTCCTCACAGCTGGTTAATATATAGTTTTGCTGCTGAATATTCGAAACAGAGTGATTGAGTTGGTACTACGCATGTATACGGTTCCATTTTAAATTACTGCAGCGCTCCATTATGAAAACAAATCGTTTTAACGCCGCTCTCAGAAATAAATGCAAATTGAATCTTGAATCTTGAAAGTTGTAGCTTTTCCGCAAATCAGTATCACATGCAGTATACAGTATATCAACTGCAATATACTGTATACAACATGCAGTATACAGTGTGTCGCGAGCAGGAGCACACATTTCCTGCCCCTCTCCCTTCGGCAAACACCTCATGGGGGGTGTAACGAGGTCACAGGTCAGGCGTGCACTCGTCAGTTGTCTGATACGGTCAAGAGTAAGATCTTCCAGAATGTGGATTGTTGATGAGGAACAACGTGTTTGGAACTGGGAGTTGACCACTAAGCACTTCTAGAGAAGAGCTCACCATAAAACGTTATGGACTCGCTGACGGACTTGTGTTTTCAATTCAAGTCGCACATGTATCAGGTTGAACTTCTACCACAGATAAAACTTGGTTACCGCTCCCTAACTGTAACATTAACTTTACGCTTTTTATACATATTTGTGATGGGGCGACAATGCGACAACGAGACATATTTTTACATTGAAAAATCTCGCGTTAAGGCATTGTCGCCCTTTTGTAAAATATAGAAAAAGATTATTCAAAGAGGAACAATGCGACAACGCGACAATGCGAAAAATGGCCAAAATGTTGCGTTGTCGAATTGTCGCGCTTTGCTTAATTTTGACACGTTTTGCTTGTTATTGCAAGGGCGTCAATGCGACAATACGACAGCGCGACAACGTCCCTTCCAAAATTCCATAGTGATCCGTGCAAATAAAACTGAGTTATGAAATAGAAGTCTAACATGCCAATTAATAGATAAAGTGTAAAAATGCGCTGATGAGTTCATCTGCATGCCGAGTCTATACGCTGTGATTAACAATAATACCCTGAGTCAATACATTTTGTCAAATGTATGACATATATTACCTATGGAATACTGTAAGAGACATTCTCGCGATCTCGACCATAGGAAACGAACTAAATATGCCAAAAACACGAGAATGCGAAATCGCGAGTACGCGAGATTTGGACAAAATATCTCGTTCTCGCGTTCTCGCATTCTCGTGTTTTTGATACATAGCACTTTTTGTCAAAAGTCGACAACGCGAGAATGCGACATTTGGACATGATGCAAAATCTCGCAATCTCACAATCTCGACTTGTCAAATTAGGCCACAAAAACACAAAATCGCGAGAACACAAGAATGCGACATTTCATTTTCTCGCGATCTCGCTTTCTCGTGTTCTCGTTTTTTAGACGCTGTCCGTGCGCATGCGTAATATCATAAGGTCAAGGCGCATGCGCACGTTAGCAGTCCGGTGGTCATGCTTCTTTCATGCTCTTCATTCTCCAAGCAGCATTTAGCAAACTTATGACTTGAGGTTGAAAATGCTATCATGTAATTTACAAACACAAAGTCCCATGTATCGTAGCGTCCTTTCCCGTTGTTACAGTTTCCTATGTACTTTATATTAAAACCCTCAACGTGCTCATTATAATTTAACAAAAGAAATTGTGTACATGAATGTCCAGTGATAGTGAAAGCATTAAAGTGTGAGGAAGCTGGAAACAATATATATCACTGTCAGTGAGAGAGTAAATATTGCTAAAAGCCACATCAGCAGTATTGCAGCTAGTCGCGTCTGCCCTGTCAATTACAGGAATAATCACAGGCCAGTGAGGCAATATTATACACGGCTAGCATATTCATCTAAACAAAATTCTCAAAGACACCGCTTTGAACAGTATTTATATTTCAGTTATACCCTGGCTTGTCAGCTTCAAATTGGTCAAGTGTCGCAAACTCGTGTTCTCGTGTTTTTCAAAATATTTACAATGAACTGTATAGGCAATTGACACGAAAACACGAGAACGCGAGATCCCGACATTGGTCAAGTGTCGCAATCTCGCGTTCTCGCGTTTTTATAAATAGTTGCATATAACTGTGTTTAAGGCAATTGACACAAAAGCACGAGAACCCGGGATCGCGACATTGGTCAAGTGTCGCAATCTCGCGTTCTCGCTGTTTTTGAAAATAGTTGCATATGACTGTATAGGCAATTGACTCAAAAGCACGAGAACGTCACTAAAGTACGCAATAACAACTTTATCGTCAGTTTTATCAGTCAGTGAGATTATCTGTAGTTGCTAGAATAGGTATAAATACTGACGACAGACAGTCACATATCATTCTGATTCCCCAACTCTCGTGTTAATAGTACCATCATGTTTCCGAGGATTGACATGTCTTTGCATGTGTTTGTGACGGGTGCCATCGGTTACAATGCTGTGACTGGATAAAGTCGATATATTTAATTGAATATCATAGATACAAATATGAAATTTTGGACCTCGATAGTCACATATTGTCGTTGTACAAAGGCATTGAAAATTGTTCATTGACATGTCACATAAGGCCACAACGTTGCACTAAAATCAGTATCTCATGTGACCGCCCGGGGCAGCAATCACGGTTCTGCATTTCCTCTGCACTGACTGGTTAAGCGTACGAATTCTGTCCTGCGGAATTCGGCGCCATTTTGCTTGTAACGCGTTTACCAGTTGTGGAGTGTCTGCGGCGGTTCTGACGTTGACGTACACGTCGATCGAGTTCATCCCAGAGTTGTTCCATTTGGTTGAGATCTGGAGATCTCGACGGCCAGGGCAAGACGTTGATGTTGGCATAAGGGGGTAGTCTACCGTGACACAAGCTGAGTGAAGTTGAGCGTTGTCCTGTTCAAACAGCTGCCTCTGGCGGTCAATGATTGGAAGAAGGTGAGGTTGAAGAATTTGATTCATGTAGCGATTTGCTGTCAACTTTCCCTGAACCACAACCAAGTCAGATCTCGTGGTGTAGGATAGATAGATAGATAGATAGATAGATAGATAGATAGATAGATAGATAGATAGATAGATAGATAGATAGATAGATAGATAGATAGATAGATAGATATTGTATTCAGTTCCACTCATGGCTGTACACAACATTTATATATTTTACATGTATACGACGGCTACATGGGCAAGCATAACGGTAAACACAAACGTGTGTTTATTTAACATTTTTGTGTGTTGAAACACGTATTATTTTAAAGGGAAATATAAACATTTAGTCTGGTCGGGTTACTAACTCTGACTATTCTTTCCTGAATAAAATATTATTTACTTCAGATATACCTCTGATGTTTTGGTATCATGTGACACCAGATGTTGTTATCAACCAATACTCCTGTATAGAAATATGAAACATCAATGCTTGAGAATGCTAGTGAATAACCAATTTCCATTTGCCAACAAAACAAATTCACCTTTGACAACGTTGACAATAGCGGTAAGAATATATTCATGGATCAGTGAGAACCCAGTTGTTTGCAAAAAGGAGCTGTTGCCCCAGATGAATAGATGAATTTATGCCGAAACAGTAAGCTCTTCGAACACTTGTTTGCCAGCTGGGACCATGTCAATACATCATGTATGAAATGTATTTACATGTTGAACGCATTGACAGAGAGTATTATTATCTTGAACGAATTCTGCAAACGAAGTAGACATTTGGGATTCCATTTATTCACACGAAGATGTTTCATTTATCAAAATATGCCTATGTTTGTTTGAAGGGAACGTGTTCTTCACCGACTTTGCTGCAGGCTTCAATGCAGGGTTGGAGTACACAAAAACTATTCAGAGACAATCAATTCAATTAATTAATCAGTGTAACTACCAGTGTTATTATAACATGGCATTGTGTGTTTATGCGAATTCTGATTGGCAAGCGCTGCATGTTTCGACTCAAACCGTAATAAACGCGAGAATGCGAGATCACGACACCTGACCAATGTTGCTATCTCGCGATCTCGTGCTTTTGTGTCAATTGCCTTTTCAGTCATATGCAACTCTTTTCAAAAACGCGAGAACGCGAGATTGCGACCCTTGACCAAGGTCGCGATCTCGCGTTCTCGTGCTTTTGTGCCAATTGGCTATGCAGTTATATGTAACTATTTTCAAAAACGCGAGAACGCGAGTTTGCGACACTTGACCAATGTCGCCATCTCGCGATCTTGTGCTTTTGTGTCAATTGCTTATACAGTTAGGAGAACGCGAGATTGCGAAACTTGACCAATGTCGCGATCTCGTGTTCTCGCGTTTTTCTGCCAATTACCTTGACAGTGACCTAGTGGCTCAGTCCTCTGAGGCGTCGCAATTCGCTGTGTACGTAAAGTTGCGTCCCTTGGGCGTGCCAGGAACCTATGATGGTGGGTTTCGTCCCATTTAAAGCTGACAAGCCAGGGAATAACTGAAATATAAATACTGTTCAAAGCGGTGTTGAGCCAAACTCACTCACTTATTCAGAGCCATGCCGGTCCCTCAGGCTGGATATTAGGGGTACTTACTCAGTATAAAGATGTTATTGTTTTCTTGTCGAACTATTTAAGGCATCTGTGTACAATTGCTGTCGAAGGATGCGATTCAGATGCAACATGCGTGTTCAATGGGGCTACGTGCACGGAGTAGGAACACACATATTAGCGATATTTCTATTTCTAGGAAGCTTGAGGCAATAGAATAATGTAAGGCGGGATGTTTTGTAGTCAGGTGGGAAAGGATGATAATCTATTTATTAATTTTGTATGGCCTAAAGTAGCGACTATGGTGTCGTGTAAAAACATCGGACAATCTCATTTTAGCCGAATGCTACAAATTGGTCTAGGAGAATTTTGTTTAGATGAATAATAATGTGATTATTTCTGTAACTGATACAGCAATACTGCTGATGTGGCTTTAAGCAATATTTACTCTATCACTGACAGTGATATATATTGTTTCCAGCTTCCTCACACTTTAATGTTTTCACTATCACTGGACATTCATGTACACAATTTCTTTTGTTAAATTATAATGAGCACGTTGAGGGTTTTAATTTAAAGTACATTGGAAACTGAACCAAAGGGAAAGGACTCTTCGATACATGGGACTTTGTTTGCACTATCCATGAACATTCATGTACACAATTTCTTTTTTTAAATTATGTTTAGCATGTTGGGGTTTTTAAATTAAAGTACATAGAAAACAGCACCAAAGGGAGAGGAGTCTACTCTACTCTACATGGGTCTTTGTGTATGTAAATTACATGACAGCATTTTCAAGCTCAAGTCATACATTTGCTAAATGCTACTTGGAGAATGAAGCATGACCACTGTGCAGGACTACTAATGTGCGCATTCGCCTTGACCTTATGATATCACGCATGCGCACGGACAGCGTCTAAAAAACTAGAACGCGAGATCGCGAGAAAATAAATTTTTTTATCATGTCAAAATGTCGCATTCTCGCGTTGTCGATTTTTGACAAAAAGTGTTATGTATCAAAAACACGCATTCTCGTGTTTTGGGCATATTTAGCTCGTTTCCAAAGGTCGAGATCGCGAGAATGCGAGATCGCGAGAATGTCCCTGTCAGTATTATATAACTACCTGTAGGAACATATTGTTTATACTCGTCCATGTTTAATATATATAATTTACATGCTCGGTAATAGTGAGGACGGGCATCATTGTGTTTCCGTGCTTTGTTCAGGTGAACAATTGACTTGTCCTTGCATGTGTTTGTGATGGATGCCACCCGTCTGGCAGAATACGCTCACCTTTTCGCGAACACCCGTTGGATGGCCTGAACCACTCAGTCTGATACACCGTGATATAACTGAAATACTTTTCAAAGTGGTGTTTAATGCGATCACCGTAGTGTGTTACTGCAACTTTCCAAATTTGGTGTAGTGATGTTATGTAATATGTAAAATAAAGCATATTCAATTATCCAATTGGTTAGAATATACTTGCGTCAGTGTATTTTATGAACTCCCCAAACCGTGTTTGTTAAACACATATAATAACAGATCATATACGCGCATGGTGCCTTGACCTACTATTAGCTTTAATAGGCCATTCCGGAATAAAATAGTTCCCCCCAAAAAGCGAGGAACATCTGTTTTAGTTTGTTTACAAGAAATATATTCCAAAACATATCCTCATTAGATGAGAAGGTCTGTTAAGAACTACCTCAGTAAGTCAATCACAATGACAGAGCGCCGTAATACATTATATTTACATCAAGTACAAGACGTCAAAATGGCCGACACGATAAACATGACGGGAGATATTTCCGAAGTTGTTAATTAGCCTGTGGCGATTTCAAGCCTTTGTGATCACTGATCAATTGGCCGATCATTTAAAGGTGATTGTAAAGATGTGTCAAATAGATACTAAGGTAATTTCATAGATTGCTGTAGATTGTCACTACGATAGTTTGGATTTTTGGGTTTTATTTCTCTAGGATGGGTTGTAGCGAGGGTATCCTTGAACGGGCATGCAACCAAACTCTATGAATAATCTCAGTGTATGCTAAGACGCTACGTTCAAAATTAAAGGGTCTAAATGATGAGAAACAACGCTTCTGTTTGAATTCGTACTAGGGAATTCCCAGGGCTTTCCCCAGGAATGTGGAAGTAGTCAGTGCTTACGTAATTTCAAGAACACAGTCACGTGAAAAACGTCATGTGACCGACCTCTCGTCCTATGGAAAAGCCGTATATCGTGTAAACTTCACATTACAAAATAAGTTACTGTTATAATCAAATGAAACACAACCCAATATCCGATAGAGGTAACTGCTCATAGCGGAGGGATATGTTATCTCAATAAACTTGGTACATGGTTTGGTTTGACTTCTTGGCGCGTGTCTGAATTCCATTAACATGTTACATATCCTAAAATTGACTAATCAGCAAATCTCGCTGCGCGCGACAGATACTAGAGCAAGGCATGCCAGAAATACGAAACCTAATGCTTCCGAAAGAAAGCCTTCTGCATCACGTGCGTCGGGGGACCGGCGCCATCTGATTGGCCGTTAACAGTTGTACAAGGCGGAGCAAAAAGCATCGTTTTTCCGTCCATTTTACGCTTGAAAAACCTCGACGCTTTTCCGGACACTTTCTAGACGCTAACCAATTAATCAATTTTAATGAATTTTTAGTCGTTTTTCCGTCCAATGACCATATACGGAAAAAAACGGCGTTTTTGTGTTTGCGGTGATAGCAGATTATAACTCTCGACTATTTGTGGCTGCCGTAAGGGGAATGAATTGTCAGACTGAAGGTCAAGTTACATATTTATTTGGTATGTGTTGCTTTCGAATGTCTTTCAAGGATAGACCTATAAAGGGGAAATGATACTGTTTTAGATTACAATATGCACATATTGTTTCATGTTTGGGAATTTTATGGTGTCTCCGGAATCAATATCAAGCCTTGTACAACTCGAACTCGAGCAAAATCCGTAACAAATGTACTAAGGGGTCGAATCGATTAATTATTTCTCTGCTTCTAGGTTTATCTTAAAATGTGTATAACATTCATATCTAGTACTAGATCATATTACGTTCGTCCAATCTTGGCTGTACATATCTTTCAATGTGGCTTGCAGTAGGTTAGGAAACCGACTATACATCCAACATATAGGTGAACACAAGCCTAGCCAACACCTGAACTATATAAGTCGAACATTATTTGCCCAGTTCTGTCCACCTACTGGCTGGCTGGGCTGCCACGTGCTGAACACTGACCAGCTCAGAAGGCTTCAGTGACAAAGACAGTGACTAAATGCACCTTACTGTAGTGGAGAAAAATATTGTATTTCTTAATGAGTTACTGACAATATTGAAGCAATTGCAGATATATTCTTCACATTGATACTGAAAAGTAAGTCAGTAGGATCAGGCATTACAGTATCTAACATCTGAGATAATTATCTTCTATATGACAATGACATGTTAAAATGGACTTCCTGCATTAATGTCTCATAATTCAGAAATGAAGTTGACATTTTGTCCTGTTCATGTATTGGCAGCCATTTTGTTCACCATATTTTGGATAAATCAAATTTCTCCACATCATATATGGAAGATCCTTGGACAAGTTACTGCATGTTGTCATAGTTAATGTAAGAATTGGTTTGGATTGGGATTACATTTACTAAATTTTCAGAAATTTATTATACCTAAATTAATTGTGGATTGTCTATAAGCTCGTAAAGCAGCCAGGCAAATGTTGATACGAACGGCGTTCAATAAGTTTTGCAACTTGGGTATTTGTGTTTACACAAACAATGTCAACTTGTGGCAGGTGTGACACTAGTCATAACATCAGGTTGACACGTGTAATAACAAGTTCCAGACACAACAATAAGTTAGATGTGATGGCTTCATTCACCTAAGGGTGGTCACAATCATGGACTCTCTCAAACATGAACAACGTGCTGTAATAAAGTTCCTTACCAGGGAGAGATGCAAAGCAAAAGAAATCCATGATCCCATGTGTAAAGTGATGGGTAAGGTGCTCCTGACTATTCCACAGTTTGCCGTTTGTCTCTACAGTTTAAAAGGGGTAGGGTGTCCATAGAAGATGACCCAAGGTCCGGCGGGCTATCAGATGCCACCCAACCGGAAACTTTCTGGGGAATTCCAAATATCATTTGGAACTGTAGTAACCATTATTCATGAGCATCTTGGTATGTCCAAGGTATCTGCAAGATGGGTACCTAGAAACCTCAGAGCTCAAAATCGCTATCAGAGAACTGAAAGTGTCGAGACCTCCTGGATATCTATACTGCTGATGACGCCGGATTTCTTTCTTATCTAGTGACAGGTCATGAAACATGGATCCACCACTAAATTTGAATCCATGCAATGGAGGCACCCCAATTCTCCGCCTCCGAGGACGTTTCGCACTCAACCATCGGCTGGCAAGGCAATGGCCACCATATTTTGGGATGCAAGAGGCATATATATTACTGATTGATTACATGCCACCAAAAACTACAATCAATGGACAGTACTATGCTAATTTATTGAATGAATTGCGAAAATCTATTCGCCAGAAACGCCGTGGGATGTTAACACGTGGTATTCTACTTTTGCATGACAACGCTTCGGTTCACAAGTCGAGAAATGCACAGGCCGCCATATGTGAATGTGGATTCGAACAGTTAAATCATCCAACCTACAGCCCAGACTTAGCCCCCAGTGACTATTTCCTGTTCCGTAAAATGATATCTGCCCTACGTGGAAGACGCTTCCAGGATGACGAGGACGTAAAGGCTGCCACAGAGGCGTGGTTAGAGGGCCAATCTGCGGATTTCTATAAAAGTGGTATTAAAAGCTTGAAGGACAAATGGAATAAGTGTAATGAGGTAAAAGGAGATTATATTGAAAAATCAAAGTGCAAAAGATATTCTGCGACTTG